CAATATCTGAATTTCTTATGTCCACCACCAAGTAGTAGCACAACAAAGCCCTTTGCACACCAAAAAAAAAAAGTGTCCAGTCAGACAAGTTGTTCGGTTTTGGCCTCAGCAGCTTTTGTCATTAACAGAATGATATCATTGTATATAAATTTGGCAAAGCATTTTAATAAAGAATATCTAAGCAATCTTCACATGCTTTAAAGAACTACTGTAACAGCCATGCATATAAAAACTTATCCAGGGGAATCAGTTGAACACAACTACTCATTAATGGAGCGCTCAATAAAAAGCTAAACATTGATCAGCAATAGAGATTTACTTTCAACCAAACTCAGATCCATTATAATGATCGAGCCCTCAAGGGAAAATTCAAGAAATGCCAAGGAGTTTTAAAAATAAAAAATCAAAAACTACATAGGCTTCCTTCATGAATGTCAATCAATTCTTTAGTACATTTGACCAAACTTAATAATAAACAGGCAACCACACGAAATTGCCATACCATGTAACTAGAAATCATGCAAGGCTACTTGGCGCAAACCAGTAAATCAAATATAAAAAATATGGTCTTAATTCTTGGCCAAAGGACTACAGACAGCACAATTAGATGAGAGCTGGATTGCATTACAAGGACACTTTAACCATCAAGAATCATGATGCAATGTTATTTCCAACCCTCATTTCAAGTAATATACAGTAAATTTCTTCCAAGGAAAAAGACAATAAATTTCTTATAAGGAAAAGACAATAAATTTCTTATAAGGAAAAGACAGTAACTTTCTAATAAGGAAAATATTTATAATACCATAAAATTTGAGAAAAACCAACAATAATATTTAATTATGTCTTAAAAACGTGATCTCACATTTGCTACAACAAGAGATAAAAATAGATTTTTTCATCACATAAAAATGATGAGCAAAAAAAAAAACTAAATAAATTAGATTGACCAAAAGACATCCCAAAAATTAAGTCTATACTGAACTTCCCAACACAGTTGGGACAATCCAAATTGAGGGCAGCATATCGTTATGTGAAGGATCAAGGATGTAATGCATCCCAAAACTTCCATTCACTATGTTGAAGATACCCATGTCATTGCGCCCAGATGGGGGATAGAATATACAGTCAGTATAATCATCTGTATAGTATATCGAATTATGTTCACATCCGGGCCATTTGGAAGCTAAAACACAAATGGAATGATTATCTCCCAAAAACAGGGTGTCTCCACCCAAGTTCTTCACTTCAACCAGCATATGCGAACCCTCCTCAAATTGGTCTAAGAGCATCTTGAAAACCTTAAACCCTAAAGTGGCATGCTGTAAATCATCTCCAATTTCTAAAAGCCTTTGTACAAGAAGTAATTCCCCAGTAGATGATTTGACAAGATACATGCGTTCAGTATGAACAATTTGCAGTGCAATTCCCAGCCCTTCTATTAACATCAATCATTAGGACTCTATCACTATCAACTGCAAAAATCCGGCCTTTATAATATATGACATCACATAATAACAAAGATCTCTCTTTAGGGGGGCGGGGCTAGAGGCCCTTTGGTTGTTAAGTGCATAAGTTGCAAACATATGCACCTCAAAAAAAAAAAAAAAAAAAAAAAGAAAAAGAAAAAAAAGGAGAGAAAAAAAAAAAGTGACATGCAAAGAATACATGAAGCATTAGTAATCCAAGTGACATGATCAATTGCAAATAGAAAAGGTTTTAACTCTAAACTCCTAAAAAGTCACAAGCTCAATAGTGTTCTTTGTTCTAGTTATAGATTAATGTGAAATCTAAAATATTAGCAAAACAATTCATCTAAATTTTACAAAACTTTCATATTTTCATCAGGCATTGCTAGTGATAGCAAGTTAGCAACAAACATTGAGTCTTAATTTGGTTTAAGAGACTGAACATCATAAGTTAAAGAGATGATAATAGGCTTACTTCAATGTAATAAATTAAGTTTACAAAATGATATCGGATTTGAAGTACCCTTTATTATTTGTAATCTATGTGCATTTGGTTATATAGAAGAAAGGTCTTTCATTTGCCAAACAATAAAGAGACCCAGTAATTCATGCCACTCAATAAAAAAATCAAGACACGGTTTGTCTCCTTCAGGTAGTCTTCTTATTCTTGACCCTAAAAATTGAAGTATCTAGGACAAAGAACATGACCTACCCAGTCCCTGTGAACTTCTACCAAATTAACCTATGTTGGCCATGGCCTCTACTTGGACAATGTTCACATTGGTTGCACCAGCTGCTTATATTCTGCAAGCAATCTGGTTTACAATTAGGAAAAACAAGAATGGGAGGAGGCTACCTCCAGGGCCAAAAGGCCTCCCAATTTTGGGACACCTTCGTATGATAGGGAAGCTCCCTCACCGAGATCTTCATCTGCTGCCTCTCTTGTCTCCAAGCGCTGGCTTCGCCTTTGCCGCCTCCCTCTGTTGTCTTCCACCACCGCAGGAGATAGATTCAACTTCCTTGTCTTTCTCCATCTTCCTCACTCGCTACACTTACCTCTCTTCCCTCTCTCACCAGTGTCGCCGGAGTCAAATTTGCCTTCTCTCCATTTCCATCGCCTCTTCTTGCCCCAATCTTCAACCCTCGCTTCCTCACTTGCCCTGTGATGCAGGAGCATTACGAGGCTCTCCAAGACTAATCGGGCCCCCTAGCCAAACTAGGCTTGGGTTCTATTTATCTTGGGGTTTTAGTTATTTACTTATTTTCTATGTGTGTTATTTGATTTTTATGTTTTGTGATATTTGGTAGATGATAATTATAGTCCTAGTCTTTTTAAATAGTAATGTGACTGTCTTGAGTTTTTAAGTATTTTGGAGGGTTATGATTTATTAGTTATTAATCGAAGGCTAGGATGCTAGGGCTGCTGCAACCTTAGTATAAATAGTCTATTAAGAGACTATGTATGGAGGTTGGATTCCAAAAAATCAGATTTAGAGTTTCTCTCGGGTCTCTTTGTCCTAGAACTCACCTATCTTGGTTCCACTTCGATTCTATTGCTTTATCTCTCTGTTTTTCTACTAGTTTATTGCTGGAAATCATTTTCTTTCATTGCTTTACACTATTACAGCTGCCGGACAGCAGCTTATCGCTACTGCCCTGGATCACCCTGTAATTTCTCTCTCTATCTCTTGCCCCAATTTCACTTTTGATGTTAACTTTTTTTGTTAAGTTTCTTTATTAATGATAAAGGGTAATTTAGAGAAGACAATATAAATTCATTACATTCTAACTTTTAAATTAGTCCAACCAAACAGAGGTATGAGAATGATCATTCCATTTTTACATTATTCCATGTTTGCAACCAAACACTAGAATGAGAATGATCATTTCATTCTATTCCCATTCCCATTCCCAACTTCATTCCAGTCCCACCCATCCTATTTCATTCCTATGTACCAAACTAACCTAAGCTTCCTTGGCATTATTTCAGAGCATCAAAACATGTGTCCTAAAGTCATGTATGATGAGCTATATTTCTTCTGAGATTGACAACTCCTAAATGTTGCACTTGTTTATATTATGTACATTAAATGAAATATGTCCCCTCTGAATCAAACTTTTCGTTGCCATAATGGTTCAGTGTATGACAGTGTAAATTTCAATAAACTTAAAGCAAAACCAGATCAATCATTTTTTTCTCTTTCAACTCTTCAAATGCCAAGAGTTCGTACAAAAATTATAAATATCATCTAGCACAATTTCCATTTCATTTCAAAAGACACAGAAAAAGAAAATCATGTGCAGGAAATCAAAATTTCTTACCTTATTGCCCGCAGGAAATCAGTCAGCCCAAACCGAACACATGCATTGATGATGAGAACTTCACAGAGAACTTCAACAGTTGAGCCCCAATCAAACAGCTTCAATAGCTGCTTTAGATTCCTATTCGAGCTCCAATAGCTGCTTATGCTTCATAATTGGCTAAATGCATTAATCAATTTTAGCCCTTAACAGCACAGATATGGCAAATATATTTTCAAGAGGGATAGAAACAAAGTTCGGTACCTGCTGATAAATCAGCTCTAATACACATATTTATATATGTATAATATCTTCATATGTAGAGAGAGAAAGAAAGAGTTGACATTGATTTTCCAGTTACGGGACTATGTATTTCAATGAAAATTCTATTCTTGCTATGAAGTGAGAGAAGAGAGAGAGCTAGAGAGAGAATGGCAGCAAGAGAGAAATAAGAGTAATATATGAGAGAAGATAGAATCAGATAGACATTCTAAGAGATAGAATCAGAATGATATCAGAAATACTAAGGTCTGCACGAAATTAGATCTAATCATCTAAACCAACAAACTAATGCATTGGTAACAGATATATTGTATATAAATTTGGCAAATCATTTTAATAAAGAATATCTAAGCAATCTTCACATGCTTTAAAGAACTACTGTAACAGCCATACGGCCCATACATATAAAAACTTATCAACACGACTACTCATTAATCGAGTGCTCAATAAAAAGCTAAACATTATTCAGCAATAGATTTACTTTCAACCAAACTCAGATCCATTATTATGATCGAGCCCTCAAGGGTAAATTCAAGAAATGCCAGGGAATTTTAAAAATAAAAAATATAAAACTCAAAAACTACATAGGCTTCCTTCATGAATGTCAATCAATTCTTTAGTACATTTAACCAAACTTAATAATAAACAGGCAACCTCAAGAAATTGCCATACCATGTAACTAGAAATCATGCAAGGCTACTTGGCGCAACCAAGTAAATCAAATATAAAAATTATGGTCTTAATTCTTGGCCAAAGGACTACAGACAGCACAATAGATGAGAGATGGATTGCATTACAAGGACACTTTAACCATCAATCATTAGGACTCTATGATTCATGATGACAGTAACTTTCTTCTAAGGAAAAAGACAATAAATTTCTTAGAAGGAAGAAGACAGTAACTTTCTTATAAGAAAATAGCTCAGAAATATTTATAATACAATAAAATTTGAGAAAAACCAACAATAATGTTTAATTATATGTCTTACAAACTTGATATCACAATTGCTACAGCAAGAGAAAAAAATAGATTTTTTCATCACATAAAAATGATGAGGGAAAAAAAACACTAAATAAATTAGATTGACTAAAAGACATCCGAAACAAATTAAGTAGTCTATACTGAACTTCCCAAAACAGTTGGGACAATCCAAATTGAGGGCAGCATATCGTTATGTGAAGGATTAAGGATGTAATGCGTCCCAAAACTTCCATTCACTATGTTGAAGATACCCATGTCATGGCGCCCAGATGGGTGATAGAATGGAATTAGGCTCACATCTGACCATTTGGAAGCTGAAACACAAATGGAATGATTATCTCCCAAAAACAGGGTGTCTCCACCCAAGTTCTTCACTTCAACCAGCATATGCGAACCCTCCTCAAATTGGTCTAAGAGCATCTTGAAAACCTTAAACCCTGAAGTTGCATGCTGTGAATCGTCTCCAATTTCTAAAAGCCTTTGTACAAGAAGTAATTCCCCACTAGATGATTCGACAAGATACATGTGTTCAGTACGAATAATTTGCGGTGCAATTTCCTTTTCCTCCACTTGCGGAGCCCCAGTCATTCTATTAACATCAATCATTAGGACTCTAAGGACTCTATGATCTTCAACTGCAAAAATCCGGCCTTTATAATATATGACGTCACTGAAACAACTAAATCTCTCTTTATCCATGCAAGTCCAAGCTTCATCTCCTGCCCGAATAAATGCCAGCTCAGAATCAATACCATAGATGGCGGCAACAATATAATCATTAGGAGACGACGCAGGGTTAGCTGACAATATAACCTTTGTAACTTCAAAGGAAATCAGATTTATGCTTGTTGAGACCACACTATCAATTGGAGGAAGCTCTATGGTAGAGCCAGAGAACGGATTCATTAGAGTTACAATCGAGGATTTTTCTATACCAATCAGCCAACCATGTGAGGAACCACAAAGCCTCTCTTTGTAAGGTACCCGTAATTGAAAATCATATAGCTTATTATGAGTAATGCTGTATAGACTGCGTCGGTCGTCGTTATTATCTTTCAAAGGCACCATCAAGAATGGAACTTGTGTGGAAAACTTATTTTGAACAAATGTAAGTTTGTTCTCCATTGCCACAGACTGCCATGGTTTGCAAACCGCACCAAATCGAACAAATTCAGAAAGTGAAACCAAATTGTCCAGAATCATATCCAATAAGTTGTTCGGAAGCCATGCCCAATCTGACTCCTCCAATGACCCAATCAGTTTTGTTTTTTTTTTTTTTTTCCTAATAGCACTGCAATGTGAACAAATCAAAGAATCTATATAATCACAATAACTTACATCGTATCTACAATACTCAACTAATTGGCAAAATTTTGAATGGGATTTATAATCTTAAACTAAATAATTCACCCAAAAAAACAAAAACAAAAAAACAAAAACTTGTTACAAACTTATGATCGAGTATGAAGTTATTGGTGTAATCTCTTTCATCATAAGGGTAACAAACTTGCTACTGACAATTTAAAAAAAAAAAAAAAAAACTATTCGATAAAATTAATTTTCAATAATAAAATCTAATTTATACAGTACCAAATCCAAATCCCATATATATTGTGAAATATGAACAATCAAAACAACTTACCTCAAAGGCTGAAATAATCTTAAACTTCGCAATTGGCGATACAAACCAATAATCTTAAGTAAGACTGATCAATATATATAAGGATATAATCTTTTCCTAATAGAACAAAAGAGTCGAGAGTTTTATTTCCTGGTCAACTCTCTGAATAAAGTACGACGGCTTAGAGATTCCTAGGGATAGAGATTAGTGGAGATATAAAAGTCTGGTCAAATTGCACTTAAAACCCCCTCACCAATGGTCAAATGGCATACAGCATCCACGATAAGTTATACGGAGTATATTAGTATATGTAACTTCCGGAACATATATATAAATATATATGTGTGCGTGTATATATATATATACACTGCATATAAAAGTAGAGAACAGTACATCAATCTCTTGAAAAGGAGATATATACATTAATTTATTTAAGCATGTAATCAAATAGTATATAAGCAGAATAATCTGTAACGAATAAACAAATAATAATAAAACGAATAGAAAAGAATGAAAGAAGGAATATGAATAATTAAAAGAACTTACCTAAACTTAAACTTCACAATTAACGATCAGTATAGTGGGATTTATCAGGGCGAATCCAAAAATTGTTGGGGGAGCTAAGGAAGAATGGGGATAAAAAGATGAAAGAGTTGAAAAATTTTTAGAAGAAATATTGAAACAGGGTTAGAGGGAGAGAGTCTGGGTCACATAGAAGACTGGGAATTCTGATATATTGAAAAGAGCTCTCTGATTTGTGTTTGGGCTCTATAGTCGGGCTTTAGGACTTGTTTGACTTGGGTATGTTTGGTTGGACTTTTATTTTAAAATTGTGGCTTAAATCTTGTGCTTGTTAAGATGGACTAATTTGGGGGGCTAATTCTACTACTACAAGTTGTTTTGTTTTTATATTGGCTTAAATTTTCCCTAATCAAGAAAGATTCCAAGAATCCTAATACAAGGAGGGTTTTATTTCCAAAAACATTGTTTTATAGGGATAGAATATAGATATTATATTAAGGATGATAAATTGCCAAAAAAAAAAAAAAAAAACATAAATATATATATATAAACAATAATAACAATTACTGATAACTTCCTCAACTAAAAGGGAGAGAAATTTTAGTTGAAGAGTGATACTTAACCGAATTAGTTAGAGTGAATTCCTTCCATGTACAAGTTTTGAATTACTTAGCTGGATTAGTTATGTTTACTAACCATAACTAGTATGCAGCGGGTTTCACTCCCTTATAATTGATCTAAGAATTCACTTTAAGTAATTGATCTAAAAATTATTTTTCATTTTAGTTGGGGTCGAATTATATATTGAAAAAATATAATTTATAAAATAAGTGGTGATGAAAAGTAATTAGAAAAAGAGAGAGAGAGAGAGAAAAAAAAAAAAAAAAAAACTGATAAAAAGAAGTTAAAAAAATATTTTTTAAGAATTGTTTAAATTTTTAAAATTATTCAACAATTGTTTCAATATTTTTAGAATTCAACTTTCAAAAAAGAAAAAAAAAATAATGAAAACTTTGATTCCATTTTGAGAAAAATAGTCATTATAACCTTGATATAAGATTAAGAGAAAAAATATAAAAGTTTAAATAAACAAATTCTTACAAACTTAAAGAAACACATTAGCTTTATCAACTTATATATGTTGTGACTGTAGAATTTTACATCTTGAAAGTGACAAACTAAAAATAATTCTAGATATTTATTTTGTAAACATAATTTAAGAAAAATGATTGACATTATATTTTTATTAAATATAAAACATTAGAGTAACAAGATTTGGATTTTGAAAAATAAGCTAAAATTATCAAAATTGATAATTTTAATTACTTTTGAGAGAATATAGCTACTTTTATTTCTAAACTCATAATTTGGGACAAAAGTTAAGTTGACCACGATGAAGGAAAACGAATTAGTAATATAAAATATTTTAACCAAATGCATGCGATTATATTTCACTTTTTTTTTTTTTTTTTCTTCTCCTACTTTTTTTTATTTTTGCCATAAATGAATGAAATAGCAACAATAGTATTTCCAATTTTTAAATATGTAAAACTCCAATTAAACTCATGACTAAACAAAAGAAGATTTTTTAAAAATGATTTTAAGTTGAAAGGGTATTGCAAATTTAGTTAAAATAATGTTTTTATAAAAATTTGAAATTACATTTGTGATTACTTTTCATGATTTTTTACTTAAAAGTACTAACACCCTTTTAGAAATGTGATGAACCGGTCATTTCCTTCCTTTCATTTTCCTTAGAATTTTACGAATGAATTTTTTTCGTTGAAATTTCTTTTCTGAGTTTGGTTTCTCGTCACTTAGTATCGTCTCGAGTGCTCAGAAATGGTTTCTGAGACTCATTCCTTTGGATTGACAACTTACTTTGAGGACCGAGTCATTTCCACATTTTTCGTTTTTCGACACTATTCATTTTTCATCCTTTTCCCTGTTTTGTCATTTTCCCTATTTTGTCTTTTCCCCATTTGTCACTTTGTTGGCATAACCTCACTCCTTGTGTTCGAAGTTAGTTTTTGACTTCACGTATCATCATCCTAAGTGGTTTTCACGAAATACGTATCTTTACTTTTGCGAGAAAGTACTCTAGTTGCTCCCGGTGTCCATAAGTACATGGATGCATAGTTCTTCAGAAATATTTTTGTTTCTTGAGGTGTTTTTCGTAAATATCTTTTGAAGATATTTTATTTCAGGGGTTTCTAAGAAAATATCTTTTGAAAGATATTTTCATTTGGGGTCACTTATGCAGTTATCTATTTGTGTAGGGGCCTTTGTGCAATTAATGAAAGTTAATTGCTAGGCATCTCCTTGGGGCTTGAATCCTCGTACATGATTCATTTTCACATTTCGTCAATCGTATACTCTTAGAATTGTCTTGCGGTCGAACGTTGCAGTTTTCGGGTTTTCGGCCCCAGTTAGCGCCAAACTTGTTTAGGGCATATCTTCTGAACGGAACTCGATTTTTGACGCCGTTTCTTCCGTTATTCATTTTTTTTTCATTTTGGTTCTTTTTTGTTCACAGAATTTTGCCGTTTGAGCACGTCTGCTCAAATTCCACTTTTCCGGACCTAGCGAGGCCCTTTCAGGGCACTTTTTGAGATTTTCTATAAATAGGGGGTCTTAAGTCAAAAAGTCAGATTTCCATCATCTTCTTCACCCTCTTGGCCAGCAGCCATGGGAGCCCAAGGGGCTGCCTTTATTTTTTCTTCTCTTCCACTTGATTTCCTTAGTGAAAACCCTTCGGCCTTAACGTTTATCGTTCCCCCCGACGTGCTTTACCCTTCCCCCTTATTAGAATTCATTTCTAACCATTTCTTGAGTTCGGGTTTGAAATCAAGTTGTGATTTTGATGGGGCTTCTTGGGGGTTCATGTAGATCGTGTTGTCCCCGACAAAACCTAAGAGTTTCGTCGGATTCGGAGCGGTTTCATTTTGGTGGCTTTTGAGATTTTCATCTCAAATTAAGGTAGGGGATGTATTAGGATTATATATGTGTTGTATTGATTGTTTTATGAACTTATACAACTTGTATGCATACCTTGTATAAATCCTAGAATTTAATTTAATTATTTTCTTGTATAGGATTTAATTCTAATGGATGCATGTGGCTTAGAATTGAATTGTGACATGCTAGGAAACTAAACCTTGATATATTGAGTAACATATATTAAATTTGGAGCATTTGAATAAGAATTGCAAAACTTATTTAATATTTATCTTTTATGAAAGTTTAATTCACATAGTTGAAACAAGTATGAAATCAATTTGTAGTGTGATATTAAAATAGACATTGGCATGTTCTCTAACCTATGTTAAATTGAGAGCATTTGGATAAGTTTATAAATCTAGAGATTTTGAATTAAATGAATTAATTAAAAATCTAATTAATGGTTCCACTAGTTTGATTGAGTTTTAACTTGATAGTGGTAATGACTTGAGTTTGTTCACTTATATATATCCATTTGGAGCCATTTGGGGTTGTTTTAGAAAATCTAGAGATTTAATTAACATGTTTCAATTAAACTCTATTTTGTTGTCTCAATGATCCAAATTAGTTTTTGAGTTGGTTAGTGTAGTGACCATACTATGTTGTGTAACATATTTGAATTTGGGATCGTTTGGATGAGATTGCATTTTAATATTGAAATGAAATTGTCATAGCGTGTAACGAATCGCACACTGAAAATTCGACATTGTGAATGTCATTATAGACTTGAACTCTAGGACATGGTTTGTGTGGATTCAATCTTGCATGTACATGTAAATTCATTCCTAGACATTATTTGAGATGAATAAGTTTAGTTTAACTTATTGATTTTGCATAAGTTTTGAACTTATTGTTTTTGGAGGCTTATAAGGATCATGTTCATGTGATGGCTAGGGTTTGGCCCTAGTACGGATTTGTGAGTTTCCTAAGTCATATGAAGTGCGCAGTAGGTAGTACCTTGTAGGTCATAATTACCCAGAATAACTTATACACGTGCGCACTAGGTAGTACATTATGGGCTAGTAACCCGGAATAACTTGATTGGTCTGCAGCCAAGGATCCTAGTCTTTCCACTATTTGATTTCGTATTTAATTTCAAGTTGTTAATCACGGATTACTTGTAACTTGAGAATTAACGCTTGCTTTGGATATTTGAATCCTATTTAGTATACTTGAACTTGTACACTTGCTCCGTGAGTTTAAATTTTATTTAGTATACTTATGCCATGTATACTTGTTTTAGGCGTATCTCTTTCAGCTTAGTATACTTGTGTTCATATACTTAATTCACGAGATTTCCACATAAAATGTATACTTGTGTAAATATGCTTAGACGTTACATGACTTGTCGTAATACGGGTTAATATACTTGGAAATGTATGCCTGTATGTTGTACAATGATCGGCTGTGACAATTATACATCAACCTTTGCAATAACACAAATCATTGTAGAATAGGGCTATTGGTCAGGTAAGTCGAACCATTGGGACTGCAAGTTTATGGCAACTAAGATATCTAGAATCACCTTTAGAATGATGAAAGGGTATATAGAGGTTTGTTGGTTTGTCACTAAGGAACTAAAATTAGAATGTGCATAAACAGTAAATGAAAGGAATCGAAGATGAGAGGAACTTATGTAGAGATGGCTAGAGAAGTGAATCCACCACCAACTATATAAACATACTTGCTTGCAAAT